ATATAACCTGTAAATAATTGTATATATATTATGTAACCTATTGTAAACCAACGCCAATGGCCTTTGACGCCGAGGCTTAATATAAATAAAATAAAATATATATATATATATATATATATATAGGTACTCCGTTTAATGTACACTGTACGTTTTATCAGTGGATTTTGGTTTTGTATTGATTTTGTATATTATTATTGTCTAAAGACTTTTTAAGAAAAGCGGGTTTAGTCTTACAGCCATATATAAGGAATTATAATATCGGATCTAATGTTCATTGAAGTGCAAAGGTTAGTCACGACAGAGAAAAGTTAATTAAGGTCAGTTRGAAGATAATTATTCTAGTCAAGCGACCGAGTACCGAAGTATAAATCTGGAAGTTTGAGATCTYGTTATTGTAGTAGGTACTCCATTTTTGAAAATGCRAAAATATAATTTAATACATTTATACAGTATTTTCACAAGAATTTGAGACATTTCTTTCATTACTTCGAAATTTTTGATCCCAAAAGGTTTGTTCAACCACCAAAATAATTCTTATATATTTTGAAACTGCTTTTGAACTTGTGTATGAATAACACAACTCAGAAATATCGATAGACAATTCGTTTTAAAGACGTAAATAATTATGTGATTTATGTATATTGTTAGATTTTTTACGGGGTTAAAAGTTACAGATTTAAATTGTTGTAACCCTGTAACTCATTTTGGAAAATTAGTTAAAGGTGAAACTGTGAAAGTGAGCTTGCTTGGCGAATAATCTTGTAAAGGTATATTTTATTATATTATACTATTTCCACCAAAAACTGCAATATTCGTTTTAGAAAGTCTATTAAAATGTTCACTCTTTTATCCTAAAAGAATAATTATTACATTATAATTTAGATATTATGAATTTGATTATTTGTCTTTCTCATAAATTRAAGGTCAAAATGCATACATAATTTTTTGTATATCTTATAACTACGAAGATACCATAGTCAAAATTACTATAATATTAAAGTAAATTACTTCTAATAATAACTCAAACTAAAATTAATTATGCCTTAGTTATTATATATCTATAGCAACTATAGGTAGCAACTAGCAACTATATTATATCATACTATAATATTACAATTTGAAAGATTAGTAACTATACCTATGTTAGGTCTCTAACTATACTAGGCCTCTCGTTAAGACGTTCAACCAGTGACGGGGTTATGTTGGCATTAGCCCCCCCCCCCTTGGCACTAAGGCATTTATTTTATAAGACAAGTATTATGATACACACACACACACACACAAACACACACACACACACACACACACACA